TAGACTCTTACTCAATTAGACCAGCTAAGGTTATTAATAAAACTGATTGGGTAAAGCATAAACAAACACTTGGAAATAAGTTTACTGCCTATTTTATACACAGTTAAAATAGGAAGAAAGAAAACAATTTTCTATTGAATTTTACTACTGCATCACTAGAAGAATAATAATAACACATTGGGAAAAAGATAATAAACAAATTTTGTGTTTATCATTCAATGAAACGAAAGTTGTTGTTATTATTATTCTTATTTATTCACAGACACATATTTATAATTAACATACGATAAAATTGAAATCGCTACTGTGTCATGTGAGTCACTGTAGCTCACATTATGTATGAACAATAAAATTGTTACGAGGTCGGTGAAATGACTCATCAAAACATATTGATGACCTTAAATAATTGATACGATATTTTTCACGCGTGAATTGTTGATAATTGGCATGTTGAATTGATGAACATATTTGATGTGACCGTGTAGATAAAATATAAAGATAATCGATGTTTTGAAAGTTTATTCCTAAATTTCAATTAATTCGTTATAATAACATGAACGAAACTTTATTTGTTTGTCCCAATTTCAGTTGATAATTCTAATACGAATGAGTATATTCTACATCATACAGAGTCTACATCAAATACACAGTCTGACAGACACACGGTGAACCTAAGGAGATGTACAATTGATCGCAGAAATTTGGATTCTCATTTAAGTTGTGGTGGATGTGGTATCTGTATGAACTAATGATCCTTTTTTATTTAACGAACCGCTTATTACCAATTCTACATATAATACTTTCATTTGTGTTCATCTAGTTCTACTTACATTGAATCACACTATTTCGGGGACTCCCAGTTCGTATAATAATTCGAATACTACTAATTATCATAAATTCATGCACATACAACAACTGCTTCTTAATTCTGTTATCATTCAAAATGGATATCTTAAATTAATACGATCTATTAGTCAATGCTATGTGAATTTTATAAAAAGATAGGTTACGTGTGAACTGGATTTCTATGACCAACAAAACCTCATAGGCTCATCACCTGTTTGAATCATTTTGTTTATTTTTAAAAATTGATGTGACTCATGGATAGTACAGTTTTCTTCATACAATACAAATATTTATAATGTGGAAACGGTCAAAATACAATAGATCATCTTGTTTTATGATCATTTCTTTTTGACTGTGAACACAAAACACAAACTTTTAGTACATAGTTTTTTAGTCATATTTACAGTATAGTCACAATTGTACTCACTTTCTCCCAACTTATTAGTAAAATGAATAAATGATCGATAATATGTTTATTGTAGTTGTTGACCATGAGTGAACATGTGAAATGAGGAAACACCCTTATTTGGCCATTTTATCAGGAACAATTTGTGTCGAATGAATATAATTTTTGGCAAAAAAACATTCTGGAGCAATATCAAACAAAGATTTTCAATAATTCTTCAGGAACACCATATAATGATACTGCAAGTAGTAATTTTGAATTAAATCGAAATTAAATGTAAGGACTTAGTAGTGGTACTGTAGCAATTGTCGCAGTTTTATAGCTCAATTCTTTCGACCTCTCGGTTAAAACATGAGAAATTAAATTATTCTCCCAAATGACTGCTTTAGCCACTCCAAAATAGTTGGTTGAAAGAATTGATTATCGTACACGTTGTCAGTTAATCTGTTATTTTTGCATTTGATTTAAACTGAAGGAACTATCAATGTAATTCGGTAATTACAGAAAACGAATACTACGTTGACTAAATATATTTTTTACCTCGTTATATGATTATATAAATTCTGTCAGCCTTTCCCATGTTTAAGTTTTTAAACATATTTTCTATGTTTCATGATAATTTATACTGTGTTCACGAGTTTTCAATATATATCTCCAACTTAAAAGTGTATTAATACGCGCCTAAACTTATTCGAATCAAAATTCCCACAACCCCACTTGTGCATTGTATTAAGAACAATTTATCAGGAAAAGAGCACGAACTATAGTTGTCAGTTTGACTAAGATTTATGACAATAGGTAATATCTTCAGTATAGGGGTTGTGGAAACTATTAATTTATTGATTGAGATCACGAACCGATTGATGTTAGACCAATGTTGGAAATTTAGAAGCAGTAGACGGCCTTTTCGTTCTATTTCGCGACTCCTCAACAGTGCAGATCCACGTCCCAAAATAAGACGAAACGGCCGTTCAGTGCTTCAAAGGTGGTCTAACATCAGTCGGCTGATGATCTCAATCCAAAGAGTAATATCTTGATGACATGGCTTCACATCTAGATAAATCCGAAGCCGCTCAAGAATTAATGAATTTCAATATTAAAACAGATTGATATGATGAGATTTAAAAGCAGTTACATTTTTTGTATTTATGATTTTGGTTCAACGTTACCTCCGTTTTAGTTCAATGTAATAACTACTCAGTTTAGTATTTGTTTTGTTACCCAGTGTGACATTTTATTCGGTATAAAATTTATTTCAGTGTGCTGTGTGTTCAGGATCACATATTCTTGTATAAAATTAACTTGAACCATGCTCAACATGATATGTAGTATATGATTTGTTATAACTCTAAGTATTTTTAATATGTGCGATTTTATCCTAGTTAATATTCAAAATAGATTTGCAATCAATGTATAAATGTATAAATCTGAAGAAAATATGTTGAATGAATCAAATCGTGATCGAAAATCTGATGCAGTATTAGTAGAAGCTGATTTTTCTTATGATCTATTACTCTCTGATGACATTCCTAATAAATTTGAGGAATATGTTCCAGAAGAATCAAATCACGATGTCATATCGTACATTATTTATCCTTATAATACATTTGATTCTTGTGGGAATCTTTTTCAATGAGAAGCACGAGTACTAAGTGAGCTCGGTTTTGATTACATTTCGGATAATTTCATATCAACTGTTGTTTATCCCTATCGTGGTGTCACTTTTAATGAGTACTCTAGTGAATGTGAGGAACATGTTTCAAATGAAACCACCTCACTCATAAATGGGATATATGAAGATCCAAAATTATTTCGTGGGGAGGATAGTTTATACAATTCCCGGACCCAGGTGAATCCGTTCCAATTGCAGTTGTTAATCCTAATAATTATGCGTACATTCTAGATCATACAGAGTCTACACCCAATAAAGTCTGACAGACACGATGAACCTAAGTGCAAGAAGTAGAACTGATTGCAGAAATTTGGACCCTCGTTTAAGCTGTGGCGGATGTGATGCTTGTATGAACTAATGATTCCTTTGTAATTGATAACTGCTTGATTTCAAATTCCGAATACAGTACTTTTGTTCGAGCTCATTTATTATTTCTTGTTTAAATTGCTTTGTTTCTGCGATTCTTAGTCTGTATTATAATTCAAATAATTCTAATCATCATAATAACAAGCCTTATATTTATCCTGAATCGAGGAAGCCTTCCTTTTACTAGACAATGTTGGCTACTGATAATATTTAAGACCTAACTGCTCCAAGATCAAGAATTCCAAAACTTTATTACGTTCGATTCTTACAAAACATATGATTTTTTTAGACACACATAGCTATTCGCTTTAAAGTACATCATAGGATCAAGTGATTAACCTGACAAAGGCACACTCCGCAATATTTGATAGTTTTCGTTAAGCTTTGATATAATGCATAATGAACTGACAACGGTATACAACATACTAAGCATTTCTGGTTAGCCAAAACAAAATATCCTGTTCGCGCTCTGACACCACAGTTCATGAAATGACACACGACAAGTCACTCATTAAAGGCTAATGACCTCGTTAAGTCAAATTTCTTTATATTGAGGATAGTCTGCTTCAGTAATTCTCTATCAGTCAATCAGATATTAACAAGCATTACTTCCATATTATAAATTTACATGTATCTGTTACAGCATGGAGATGTGCCTATGTTCGTTTTCAAGTGCAAACACCAAAACATCAGGTCAGTGAGATTAAAGCACTTCAGCAGTACCATCTCAGACATCACGGAGATACAGAACATCAAATTAAAATTATGGAAACTTTCTTGATCATTAGTCGCTAAAAATATCACCCTATTCTTCCGAAATTTGACTAAGCCTTAAATATCTAAAGCCTAAAACTAAACTCATATATCCTGAAGAGGATGGTGTTAAATCTATCTTCATGACTGTGATGTTATCACTAGCTTGCTTAATCATCCGTTCAAGGTTCGCTCATTTTAGTTCCTATTTATTTCTGTTCCTATTGTTAACTTCATTTTTAATAACTGACTACGATTTGTCTGATACCTAGTTACAACTAAACTGTGTTCATCTACTTAGTCACGTGACAAAATTTACGTAGTTAAATTTTTGGCCCTTCGATCAGCTATTACAATGACTAATGATTCAGAATTTATTTCACACCAGACTTCTTCAGTCTCATTACATTATAATAAGCCACAAGTCCCTAATTACGATGCTTATCGACATCTCAACGTTTTCATCGTTGTGTGCAAGTTAAATTGTTGGCAATAAGCACACGATGAGAACCAAAGGAAATAAAATGCATTGGTGCTAATATGGTCTATTCTCTATTTAAAATCACGCAGATATTTGTCTGTTCACGATATGTGCGTAAAATCTTATTTCATTCTTTCTGACAGTCATCTTCTCTTCACTCCTTCACTATTTCTATTTTAAAACTTTGATGCCTCAAAAAAACTAACTTCTCCGGTAATCCACTGCCCTAGGACATAAGCAATCAATAATACTCGAAAAATATTTATCAAAAGTAACCATCAAAGGCAACAGCATCAGTTCGGCCAAGTAGCTGAACCTTCCATAATTAACGAAATCAAATACCTGGAATTGCATATAAAATTCAAACAGGTAGCCCGAAGAAATCAACAACAAATTCACAAACCCTATACAAAAATGGTACTTCCCTTTAATCTAGAATATTTTTTTACTACACACTTAAAATTTCAAATAAGATCGTTAATTTAGTCTGTCTGTCTCGCGACATCTCAGGTTTAAGCGAGCTCGCTACAAATATATTTCCTTGTAAAGGTCATGAATTCATTTTGAAAAACATCAGCTGATATTACGATACGTAATTTCGGTGTGTATCATTCAATCCTTTTCTTTTTTGAAATTATTTTTCACTTTTATGTGTATTATGTATTTAAAAAAGTGATAAAAGTGCCAAGGAACACTAATATCAGCTACAGTGTCTAGTGTCATACAAAACCGATGTACATATAGTATATGCAGATTTAGATGAACCTTATTAAAATTTTAAGTCTGTGTGACAGATAGTCTAATGTATTGTTCATTAAATTGCGCACTTTAAATCCTGGTAAGTTTCGAATGCTTACTTTCATCTCCGGATGTTTTATGCAGTCGTTTATTTGTGATTTTTAAGGCTTTCGATATAGTTCCATTCTCCTATTAGATAAAATTTATAGCGCATAAAGTCACAACCATCTAGCATTCTTTTCTGTTTTCCATTCGCTCAACTTTTTCTCCTTTATGAGAAACATCAACACTGGTGGAATTAGGCAAGTTTTTTTTAATTATGTCACATTTATAGACACTGTGGATGTCGTGTGTTCATTAGAACTCACCATGATTACCGAAATATGAAATAATGAATGAAATTAAGGTCAAAAGAATTTGAAATTGCTTGCTACATATGGTCTGCAATGATTGAATGTATCATGGAAAACCATATGAGATTATATATAAGCTAGAATTTTCAAATTCGTTTGAAATATCTTTGCCTGTCAAAATCTCGAGATTTTATCACTATTTCAAAGGTGCTTTTAATCGTTGATCTGATACGTAATTAGTTTTTAGGTGGTATGTTTAATCTGCTTGTCATATTTTGGAATTCTTCACTTTCGAAAAGTCTCCTTGCTTAAGAGGATTCATCCATTAGTGTCGGAAACTTTAAATTTCATCAATTTTGTCCATGATAACACTTATTATGAAACAAAAGTACGATTAAATCTTGAGACTCAATGTTTTGTATCGTTCCTGAGTTGCGATTCGATAAATCCAAGTGTCTAGAATACGGTGTAAACATCACGAACATGAAGGTTACTTGCCATAACGGCGCGCTTGATTTTGTAATCTTCTTTGAGATACATTAATTAAAAAAGTATTGGAGTAATCGCTTTCATGCCCTTATGCTATTTATTTGGTTAGTGTGTAGATTTCAGCATCTACAAAGAAAAACTCAATCTTCCCAGTGAATATTTGCATTTTCTTCTTTATAACAATTTAAAAGTCAATGGTAAACGAATCATTTTGCATATTTTTTTTCGTTTTTGGCCCTCTAGAAGTGGTTGGTTCTAACTAGTATTTAAATTCATCGTTTTTATTGCACACACTTTAAAGTGTAAAATCACACACCTGCAATCTTCATAAAGTAGATATTGATTTAAAGGCTTTTTCCAAGAAAAACTGATCATTTCATTTTTTAGTATGCTTTATCTGAAATTAGTAATTTTCGATCAAAATTAATTTTTTTACTTACAAACACATTCAGCATAATATTTTCATGTTCAATATTTAAGATTAAACATTTGACTCGCAAATATTTTTATGTATATTTCTTTCTTCGATGGTATTCAGGTCCTTGTGTCATGTAAGTTCTGTAACACATCAATATATTTGTATAACACTAGGACTACTCCAGTAGCCGCCAACTATAAAAATGCATCTGTGGCAGCAGATTATATTAAAACAGTGTCAAACGTATTACCAGATATTGGAATTATATGTGGTAGTGGCCTCGGTAAATTAATTGAAGAAATAGAAGAATGTAAGACAATCCCTTACATAAATATACCAAACTTCCCAAAAACAACCGGTAAGGTTTTTCAACTTTTTCATACACCAATATCAGTTGCTGGGCATGTCGGAAACTTAGTGCTTGGAAGGCTTGGTGGTCGCAAAATAGTTGCAATGCAAGGAAGATTTCATATGTATGAAGGATATTCAAACGAAGAAGTGAGTAATACGGTAATAAATTTATATCTAACAGATTGCACTTCCTATTCGAACCATGAAGCTCTTGGGAGTTAAAGTTCTTATGATTACCAACTTAGCTGGTGGGATTAACAGAGAACTTAAAAGTGGCGATTTTGTTTTAATAAAGGGTCATATAAATTTCCCTGGATTTGGGTTAAATAATGTGTTGGTTGGACCCAATCAAGATGAGTAGGTTCTAATTTAATCTTCTACTTTTACAGATTCGGACCTCGATTTCCTGACCTATCGAACGCTTACGATCGTCTTTTGCGACAATTGGCTTTAAAGATAGCACAGGAAAACGATTTGCAGGATTTGGTTCACGAGGGTGTTTACGCTTTTAATGGTGGTCCTACATATGAGACTCCTGATGAGTCCAATATGCTACTCAAGTTGAACTGTGATGTTGTTGGTAATTTCATTAAGTTACACTTCAAGGCGTAAAGTAAACTCTTATTCACCATAAGTTGGACAAAATAATGTGAAATGGGTATTTCGCTATCAATTGGACAGACTTTATATATTTCGACAGCAGATTTATAAATACCTACCTATCACTTGTCAGTTCACCAAACATTTATCCTACGTTAAATTATAGGTACAATTTATTTGGGAGTCAAACATGCCTTTCATATTTAAATGCAAATAACTTGCTGAGCCGAAGCTCATTGGTTGATAAACTGTTGTGTGGTCGAATTACATATCGACAGCCCGATTTGTTTTATCTTACGGTTTGAACTTCCGAGTCGTAGTTTTCGCTTCCTACTAATAGGTATGGTTTACAGCACAACGCATGAAGCCATGACACTTTACCCAATCACGTTGTTGTATTATTAGAGCTCCAATTTAATTGTTTTTACTGCATATACAGTAGTTTCTAGTTTAACAGTCGATTGCTTAATGCTGTGGTAAATGAAGGTATTTGTATTTTAATGTCAAATAACTTTTGCTCGCTTCTCTCAACATAAATATGGCAATCGATTTCCACTAACCTAATAATAGTAACAAAAGTATTACTTCCATTCACTTATTAACTGAATTACTATCTGTACATTATGCACATAAAATTTCCCTTACATATTCCCTCTGGTGAATAAACGAACCTATTCGAACATATATTTCGAGAATGCGAAAACATGCAGCTCAGCGACTATTAAATTTGTTAGCTAAACCGTTTTGACCTACTGATTTTGCTAACCTCATACATGAATTAAGTTAGTGGTTAATTGATGTCAACTACTGACCAGTTCACTGCATTCAAATATGACCATCGACCAAAGAAGTTAAGGATATGTAAGCCGGTATAATTTAGACATAATTGTTGCATCATTTGTGGATTTAGTATTGGTGAATAGCAAAATTTTTATCTTTAGTTTCCCTCCTACCTTGAGTCAAATCTTTTCACTATCTGCCCAGTTATAATAAGTAGCCGTAACAATGTTTTGTACGCCAGCATGGCTGAGAAAAGGATTATCAACTAAAAAAGTAGGACCAATTATTTAATTGTGCTAATACTTGAACTGTACTGATACAAGTTTTGAAAAAATTCAATTCAAACATCTATTTCAGTTTGAATAGTCAGACAGTATTGCTGGGACTCATATAAGTAGTGTGAGCTTAAAGGCCAGTACCCATGCATGTCACATTTTTACCGACCTAAATTTTATTTTGTTACATATATGTTGAAATCATACTGACTGTATATCATATTTACGATTTAAAACATATTATAATGAATTTATCATGACACAACTCATAACTTATCATTTTAACTATTATTTTATAGGCATGAGTACTGTACCAGAAGTAATAATTGCATGTCATTGTGGAATCAAAGTTCTTGCTGTCTCTCTAATCGCAAATAATAGCATTTTGGACGCAGAAAATGATGTTAGTATAAATCATGAAAAAGTTCTAGCTGTAGCTGCGAAACGTGCCGATCTGTTACAAATGTGGTTCAAAAAAATTATCACCAGACTTTCACTAGATTAAGGTGAATTTATTTCGATAATTTTTGTCAGTCAACCCATAAAATAGTTCCTCGTTCCAATTACACACAAATAGACAAATTAGACTTTCCTCCTGAAACTCAATTATTTCTCTCTCTCTTTAAATTAGTTAGTTAAAAACCGACAGGTGAACATTTTGTTAATACTGCTTGTTGAACGACAACAGCTTGTTCTTCGCCTTATGTTAATGGAAAACATTCATTACGCTAACTTGTGTTTTTTTCACTAACTTAGTTAATTTTTCGTTAACCCATTTATTTGTTAGTGATTTGAAATAAATTTATTTTAGTTTCAACAAATATTTCAGGTCACGGAAAGTGATAAATTTGGTCCGACTATGAACTCACTAGATAAACGGCGGGTGAGAATGTAATACGAATTAAATGACTATAATGAAACATTACCCTAAAGAATTCGGATTGATTTTCTAAGACAATATACAATCCCCTTCCACATTACTAACTTTAGTTAGATAATCACTGAAAAGCAGGAGTTACATTTGATCGGTAAGATTCTATCAACTCGAAGATTAAGTACATAATTTAGGGAATCGATCATGGAACATTGAGTGGAAAAATGTACGTATTAAATTACTATGGGAAATAAAAATATCATAATTCATATTTTTGCAGGGAACGTTCATGATACTTGCAATATATGTTGATAACCCAGCTTGTTAGAAATGTCCAGATCTTAATGTGTATTTACAAATAATTTCTTCTGTTCAAAATTTTCAACGGATGGTAGTTTTAATTCATAAATGTTTTTTTTTCAATTAATCACAATAAAAATTCAGTCTTCTTAAGATTTTATTCAAGTGTTGCTACAAAAATGTCCCCACTACCATACTATATCCTGATATGTTTAATACAGAGATGTTTAAGCATTATGATATAAAACCAATGCAGCGGAAGTGGACTGCTGTTTAGTTTTTCTAAAATACCAGAACCATAAATAATTATGTTAAACGACCAAGTATAACCCCCTAATAAGTCATATTCTTCCCAAATATTTCAGCAGACTCTCGTTACTCATAAGTTCATTATATCCTGTTAGACAGTTGAAAGTTTACTTAATAATCTTAAGCTGTTAAACGCTTTTTCCCAAAACGTATTTCAATTATAACTGCTAATGTATGAGTATAACTATGGTTTTAGCTGATATATCAGATTGTTACAGGCATTATGTTACACTAACTCGCAACATGTGAGAAATTTTGTTGATAACGACATATGATTTAAAAATGAAATGAGGTTATTAATTATCCAATAGTAAGTTCAATAAACAAGAACATTTAGTGTTAATGTTTGGATATATATGAAACGAAATATTTACAATAAACCTGATGTAAATTAAAAATATAATAAATGTTCGTGTTCGGAAACACAATGTGGAACGACAAAAATGTCCATAAATAAACTTATGAAAATGTTTAAATTAAATCGCATTTGGGTTAACCATTTAAATATGAAGTAACGAAATTGTCTTATCACTTATGAAAAAAAATTAGTACGAAAATGTATTGTTGGTAGCATCAAAATGAAAATGATACAACCACCATAGTTTGTGCATGAAAGAAATTTAATGCACAATAAATAGTCGGTGATGATGAAAAGATATAAATAAGTGAAATGCAGAAATACTCTACAACTATCAGTTTTGTTAGAAATAAACAATAGCATGACTTACTTTGCCAACCTGTATATTATTGTAGTGACATGACAATGATTATATGCTTACAGTTAAAGAACCTAAAAAATGAGTGTACTACCAAATTAATACTTCCAGAAAGCATTTAAAGAATTCACCGGTCTTTTGTAAAATAATATTTTGACGATCCTAGATAGATATGCACTATACATAGTGTACAATTATAACAAAAAACTGGTTTTCTTATAGAATAGAGGTAGGAAATTTTGGCCACATTTTACTATGACTCATTCATTTCTGTTATTACTTATCACAGTATGTAAAAATCCAATCTTTGTGTTAACCATTTGACCAAAGGTCTCTTATTAAAATATGAGAAACGATAGAGCTCAGCATACACTGTATCTGCTTCAAAACACTAAGTTCAGCTTTAGCTTATATGAATACCTTAAACTACTCAACTGATCTGAAATAAATAACATTATCCTCAGAAATCCTAATGATTTGTAACAAAACTTTCAAAATGTATTCTGTCAGCTAATCACTCGAAATTTTACACAAAATCTTTCTTTCTCTTATACTTCGTGAGGTTTCTATTTACTATATTAGGTGATTATCACAATCACTGGGACCATTCAAGTATCGTTTAGCATAAAGAGTCACTGTGATATACGGGATTAGAACCGAAATCTATTTTTATCGATGAGTATGTTCACATATACTCAAAAAGCGTCTATAAATACATTGATTTTAATTACGTCAATAGTTGCATTAACATAACAATAAACAGGTTGCTTAAGGCTTAATCATAATGTAAGTCATAATTCAAATAGTGCGAGTACATTGCTTTGGAGAGCACAGTAGCCACTTAGTGTTAGGAATATCGTAATAATATTTCAACAAATGCCTTAACTAATCATAATAATTCACTAGTCATATAAAAATCCCTGAAACAATATTTAGCGTAATAATTGGGGTAAATGATCGTTCCTAAAATTTGAATATTACCAGAAGAGTCATCTCGAAATTTATCTTACATAACATGATAAAAAGACGAATGTCAAATACTATCTAATAGATTTATTAATATTTTGTACACCAGCACCGAAACAAGTAGCAATCAGCATTTTTGGATAAGAATCTATATCAGTTTCGTTTTCGTTATCTTCCATATTCTCTTTAGATAATTTGATAGGATTATCTTGGCTTCGGTACTGAAAATTAAATGTTACCTAAAACAAAGAAAAAATATCAATATGAATTCTGACTGAGTGACCAATTATTTTATCTCAAATATTCAACAGTTTTTCATCCATTTATTTATGAATTAGAGCCCAGTTTGATAACTTTCACCATTTTGACTAGTTCAAAGAATATCATTTTCACATAAGTCCATATTCTCTACGACTTCTACCATCAGAAAGATATAAGAAGCTTCTAAAAAGCGACACAATACGCAGTAAATAAGAAACTGTAATTAAAGAGGGAAAACAAAGTTTGAATGGAGAAGAACATCAAAACGTGTGCTGCTTTCGTATGTAAACTACCAATATAAAGATTAGACTTATCATTTATTTGAAAGGAAGAGTACAAACAATCACTTTACTAATGAGTCTAAGAAATAAACAACAGAAAAATATAGATGTAGGCTAGAAATCTTAACGATGTAATACGAAGAATATATTGTTCCAACATGTCAAAAGACAGACATCAAAATGTAGAAGTAAGCTGTCATGATTCAGTAAGTTATTTTAAACCAACGTGAAAAAATGTACTCCTGTAATTTCCGTTTATCAAATGTGATATTTTTCGATATTAACTGACGAACCCCAAGCAACAAGTTTTATGGAATCGATTAAACAAACTAATGATTTTTGAAAACATTATATTTTTCAAAATGAAGCATGACAGAAAATACGTAACATAATTCCTACCTGTTTAGGTTGACGCGGTTTCATAAATATGTCGTCTTGGTAGAATTACTTTCAAATCAAGTTTCGTTCAATCTAAATATTTCCCGAAAGTTGCAAATGACGGATATCTCACCACACTGCTATAGGGTGTTGCGAAAATTAATGGACTTCATAGTCCGCACCATGGACTGATTTCATTGAGACAGACACTGAGAACTAGGGAGCATTGGACAGTTATTTTACCCTAGTATGAAACCATTCGTTAGTCTACATTCATGACCTACATTTGAAGATCAAAACCAGGATGTCCAGTTATGACAGCGAGTGTCTAATCTTGACGAAAGAGTCGACATCCAGTTGTTTATCCTTCCAACTTTAACGAATTCATAATATTGCACAATCATCTCATACTATCACCGGTGGGTAACTGTCTGACAATCAACATGGCTGAACTCAATTGACCATGACTTTTCACCAAAACTCTGGGAGTCATATTCCAAAACTAGTCACTAGTGAGAAAATGAATACTATCAGTGTATAAGGATTGTGGAGATTTCCAACAGTTCTAACAGGTAGACTTGGATGATGGCTCCATTTTGAAAACTGATTGGAGTTGTTATTATACCACGCAAACTCGGTAGTTCTAATGCTGAAGTGGTCACCACGAGACATGAAAGCTATGGATTCGATTCCCAGTATGGTTGTGTATACTCACTGCTTAATAGTCCCATTTCAGGATGGAACGGTTATCCAATGCTTCCCGGTTCTTAGTAGTTATCAATGTAGAGTTCTTGAGTATTAATTGAGATCATGGATCGACTAATCTTAGACGACCATTTGAAACCTGGAAGCACTGGACGGCCGTCTCGATCTAGTATGGGACTCCTCGGCAATACGTATCCACGACTTAGCACGCAAGATTCGAACCCAGGACCTTCGGTTTCGTGCGCGAATGATTAACCTCCAGACCACTAGGCGAGCATCCAACGGTGTTATGATTAACTTCAACCAATCCACGATATTGTGTGACCATTTTCCATTAACTTAGGTGGATAACTGCCTCACGTCCGACACATATTAGCTTCACTGGTCATGACTTCTCGCTAGAACTCTTGGTAGTTACTTAACTAAGACCAGTCCATGAGGTAAACTGTGAAACTCCTAATATTAGTTTTTCGTCTATTCTTGACGACCATATTCAACAGTCGTGCAGTATAAGAACAGACTTTACATGTCAAAGCGTTAGCAAATGTTAACGGTACCGAAGTTGAACTAATGTGATTCTTTCAAGTTCATGTCACGATAAACGTGAACCTGTAATATGCAACAATTTACTACTACAACAGAGTTTTAGTTTAATGACTTACTCCAAGGAATTTTTGAATAAGCCTTAATGTACAAACAGAATATTCGGACAGGTTTCCGACAGCCAGACGGCTAGCGTTACGTCCACTTTCACAAGCCATTAAAACGAATGCCAACGATTGGGTTCCCGAATCAATGAAGCCCCCTCTGTATATCTTGCACATTCAAAAAATAACAACACGGTATATACACTATAATCTTTGGTAAGTAAATGAAAATTATCTGACACTTATATGGAATGTGTAGACATGTATTATTCGATTAAATGGGGAAGTAATATATAATTTCCAATAGTACCTCAAAAATTACATCTTAAACGATTTATTCTATTTTGTATTGAGTTTAAACCATTCAAAGTAATAGTAAATTC